TTTCAAAAATTTTATAAGTAACCGTTATAGGCACATACCGTAAACGTTTATTTTTTAAGTCTTGAGCTTTTCTTTTCTATAATATCTTCTGTTTACAGACTCCATTCCTCTATTTGTTTTCTGTACAAATCCATGGGTCTGGAGGTGGATGAGAGAGATGTGAAAGAACTCGTCGAGGAACAGTCTCAGGAGCTGACAACCGAGGAGTTACATTCGCAGCAGCATACGCTGGTTCAACGAAAAATTAGTTTTGAAGAGGAGCCAAAGATGGAGGAGGTTATCCTTACAAGAGATACAAAGGAGATCTTGGTAATGTGGGAGAAAGAGTTCGTGGATAAAAATCACCCCGAAAAAGTTGCAACTGGTCGTGCATCGGAGTTGTTGAACGAAACTTGCCTAGCTCATTTCCGCAATATCCTGGAAGGGAAGACGAAACAAACCTTTTTGGGCAGTTTTTTTAACCCTTTGACGCACGCGATATTATTTTTATAATTTTTTTTAACTAAAAACTCTAGAAATTGAATATTAAGATCCTAGAGACAGATAATATATGAATTAAAAAAAATCTACTCTTGCCCATTGTTTTGTGGTTGGGGGTCGCGAAATCACCTCATATGTGGTCAGGTCGTAAATTTAGAACCCCTTTTTTCACGGGGGGCTGAAAAGGAGGAGATAATCTTGCTCGTGGTCTTGAGAAAATGTGGGGGTCGTTTAAACATCTAACTTCTCTACATTCAGTTTTTATACAGAGGAAAATACAAATTGAATTCTTCGAATGATTGTAATGTTTCGTACTCGTTCAATTTATTAATGTTTCGTACTTTATCTTATGAAAACAAAATATCAGAATCTAATTAAATGTTTCACTTGTTAGAAAAACAGAAAATACAAATATTTGTGATATAAAAAGGAAATATCTTAAAAAAATAAAATGTAAATGAAAAAAAATAAAGACTTACAAAATATTGCAGAAATTACATAAAATAGCGAATAAACTTATTCAGCGCAAGCTCGCTAAATGTAAAACAGATTCTACAGTCAGAAAGCTCGCCTTGTCACAAGAAATATACTATTCATCGGGTTTAAAGGTTATTCACTAACGTGCAAAGTTCAGTGAGTAACATGTATTTTCCTTTGAATGTATAAACTAGCCAGAAAAAAGTGGGGAGCACTTGAAAATTAGATGCAAATTTAACAGATGGATTGAAGGAACCCTACTGCAACGTACCACTTTGTGTAAGCATTTTTCGTGGATTTCCTAAGGTATGTAAATATGAGCCCATTTTCCTTAGAAAATTCTTCATGAAATCATGCCTAGCCAATCCTCATATGTTTTGCCATATTCAACACAAAATCCTTCTTAAGATGATTAATTAATTAATTTTGTGTTAGATGATACAGCTTTTCAAAACTAGGATGCTTTCCGTAAAAATTAGTATTAATAAGCGCTGTTCAACTGGAACTGGGTTGGATTATTTGGTTATAGCAGTGCTTTTCAGCCGACTTACATGTACCTGTATGTATTGCTGAGGGGGTGGAAGGAAATTCCTGAACGAAAACAATGAATAATGAAATGTTCATAAACAAATAAATATAACTTTCGTATCTTATGTAATTTGTCTCCATTCTGATACCATGTGCATCATTTATTTCTGATATACTGATACTGAATGAGACCTAAAAACACTTTTTTTAAAAATATATCTCCCCTTATGATCCCTGACACAGCCGTTTACTTTCCCCTTCCGTAATTAACGTCAGTCTCCTGCTCTTGACCGCATTTGCCAAGACACCGGGGTCGCACTGTGAAACCACCGCGCGTCTAGGACTTTGAAAGAAATACACCCATATGCGGTCAGGTTGTAAATTTAGAACCCCTTTCTTCCCGGGGAGGTTAAAATGTAGGGGATAATCTTGCTCCTGTTCTTGACAAAATGTGGGGGTCGTTTAAACATCTAACTTCTCTACATTCAGTTTTATGCAGAGGAAAATACAAATTGAATTCTTCGAATGAATGCAATTTTGTACAATGAAAATGTATTACTTAACGATAAACTGTAAGATAAATAACATCTTTTTTTAAAGCCATAGGTGTAGAAAGACAGATATTTGTTACACGAATGAATTTGTAGTAAATATTGAGTTTTTCATTTCGAATGCTATGTTCCATGTATGCGAAGTAGCTGAGTATGTGAGATAATAGTCATAACCGAATGGCTTTCAACCTTTTCACGGCTAAGGACTGTTTCTCAATTACATTGTGGTCGCTGCTTTTTGGTTAATTTTCTAATGACGCATATAAACAGCAGTTGTTTTTATTTGAGACTTATGAATAAAATAACGCAAACTAGACTACTGCAGAAAATTCTTTAAAGATTGAAGTTAAATAATACTAAAAATACATTATTGATGCACTTTTGTGTTTTATATGTAGTAGTATTAACTACTACTATAATCCTTAAATGGAATCCTTAAATTATATATATCTATGTATAGGTATATATAAATGGAACCAAATATAGAACAAGGTATAAAATATCTTTATTATACAATGTTCATTACCATACGTATATTTACGTAATATCAATATAAATAGTTAGTTAGGTTTCGTACATATATAATTTATTTTTATATTTGTATTTTTTGTATTAGATTCAGTATTGTATACGTATCTGAAGTTTAATTTGTTCTCTTTTTGGGTTACGACTTTAAGTGAGAAAGAATTGTTAGGGCCTTCATAGGGATTACATTATATACAATCAGTTAGGATCCGACTTTTCCTTTCTTTTAATCATTATATATATTGAAATACTACTTGATAAGTATACATAAAATATAGCAGTTTTTTAAGCTACTTATTTATATATCTATTGTTTGGTCTGGTTTGTTTGATTATAGCAAAGCATTCGACGGTTATTTGCCTAAGGGTAAGGGTGCCTCGTAGAGAACTTTCTAAGCAAAACTGACTCTTATGCACGTTACACGTGGGGAAAACCTCGAAAACGCCAATACAGCCATCCCCGTCGATCCGGATTCGAACCCCGGATCGACCTGCCAGAGTTCAACGACTTTACAGCTCAGCCGCTAGTGAGTCCCACCCCCACACACATCCACACATATACATTAAATAGTATTTACATGTCGTTTATAAAGTATAATTGAGTGCAATTTAATCATAAAGAGTTAGAAAATATTCTACGGAATTACTTCACTTCGTAGACTTTTTGTTAAGCTTCACCACCATATTTCTTAAAGAGAATCTCAATGCTAGTTCCATTTCCAAGCTGTTTATGTACCTTATTTTTTCATGCTTTGAATTATATTTAGAAAATTATTTCACTTGGTTATAGCTGAAAATGCAGTTTTTTTATTGAAGAATTTAAGGGTAAGAAGAGAATTATGTCCTTTTCTAATTATTCTTGAAGCATTTAAATTTTTTTAAAAAAAAGCGCACATTAATACGGATCACTGAACTAAAGTGCTCGATACAGGACAGATTAATTAGCTACTAAATTTTGATTTTCGTTGAGTAAAAATGAATTCATCTGCATTCTATAAGAAAGTAAATATTCAAAAAATGTTTTTTTTCCTATTCTCGCAGTCATAATATTATTCTTAAATATTCAGCTAATTCATATTCAAATATTCCAATCCATTACAATAAGTAATAAATCGATACAGTAAATAAATAATTAAAATCAATTAAATGGAATTTTAATTGCCATTTTCCCTCTGATAAACCCCTCTTTAGAGTTCAATAGCAGTCGATCAGCTTTTGTTGGGGGGTCATTTTTCTTTATGGTATGCTTACGTTATATATGTATGTATTATGCATTGCTCATACTTGTCAATTGCAGCTTTTAATATCTTTTGGAAAAAAAATCAATATGAGAATCCAGAAAATGATTCTTAGCGACGCTAAAACTATTATTACTAGGCACTCTCATGCCACAGTGTTTAAAAAAAAAAATCCCATTGTTTAAAGGTAGATTCTATGCTCATATTTTTGTCTAAAATTAAAAGCTGCGAGTCAAAATTAAGGGGGTTGCTCTTAGAAAGCCTCAATTAGAAGTAGTTATATGAAATGTTAATCAATACTTATAATCTTACGGATTAAACACTTATTCACTATTTGATCACGTGTATGGCAAACAGATATTCGTCATTCATAAAGAAAAGAAAGGTGAATCAAAATGAGTTATATTCTTGTTTTTCCAACTGCAAAAACATCTTAAGATACTATCGGATTTCATCTTTAAATTATTCCAGTAATAATCAGAACAATGGGGGCCATTATTCTTAACTATAATTTATTAATGCAAATCCTATTTTGGTTTCAAATGGCTTTCATTAATTACGGTAATGATATGGATATTTAGCAATCTATTACACTGATACGTTTATGTACTATTTTATTAAAAAAGCGTATTTATTAATTACCTCAGTTTTTGTACTGATAAGCAATAAACTATTATAATATGAAAGAACAAAAGAAATAAAAACAATTGTTTCCTGATATTTGGGAAAATTTCACCAGGTAATATATATAAGAAGTATCTGTATTTGTTTTTAAACCACTCACTTGTTGAAATGAAAAAAAAAAAAACAATGCGTTGTATAGTTTGAAAGATAAATTAAACAGCTTATACGTCAAAGAACGCAACTCGTAATTTGCGATATAGATGAATACTTCCATGATATAGTACTTTAACACAGTATAATGTGAAACGAAACAGCAAGTGTTTTGCACATCTCTAAAAGTCAAAATTGATTTTCACAATCGAATAAAATTTATGACAGTAAGAAATTACTTAAAAGATATTTCTCAGTTTCACAGAATTTTAAAAGCTTTCCTTCACACTTTATCCAGGCTTAGGACTGGCAGAACATAAATCGCTCTGGCGTGTTTAAAAGCATTTTTTTATCTTTTTACTTTATTTACAAAATTACATTATTAAAAAATAACTTTGTACACATTATTACAATAAACATGTATAAAATCGAGGAAATATAAAAGATTTACAAAGCAATCTACGGGTAGATAAAAAAAAAAAAAAAAAAAAAAAAGACAAAGGTGAAAGAAAACAAAAGAGCATTAATCGTAAATTCATTCAAATTTCTGCAAAACAGCTACTGCAAACCTTAAGAATTTTCTTAAATCTTTAGTTAATTCGTATTCGATGAAGCATTTTTCAATTCTTTCATCAATCCTAATATAATTTTTCCTTCTCCTTTTTCCTACAAGTTTGAGTTCTTTCCTGCAAATAAAAAAATCACTATATTCCGCCTCCTTTTTCAGAGTTGCCACTAGCGTGCGTACTGTAGGATGATGCGTCATTAAAGCATGGTTTAATTTGTTATTCCAGCCCTCAGCGGCATTATTTGTTCTATGCCGTCTGTTATTACAGTTCCACATTTCTATTGTGACTAATGCATTGTCCATCCACTGATTTACGAAATAATCATAAAACTCTTGAAGTTTGGGGTCTTCTGGCGAATATTCCTGTATCAGAAGCCATCCATCGTCCACATCTTCCAGTTTTAAAAACGCAAGCGCTGCGCACATCCGCGGATGCATTTTAATTTCATCGTTTTCTTTGTATTTTTTCACTAAACCTAAACCTTGTATTTTCCTCCATAAGCACTGATTAAAGTGATAGTTACATCCTGCATTTTTAGCGGAAGGAAATACAGTTCTGAGAGCTAAAATGACTGCTTCTTCAAAATCAGTCATAATTAATGAAGGATTTCAATGTGGAATTGCTTCACATATCATATGGAGGAGTCTTTCATAAGTCTCCTTCCTTTTATTTGGAAGGAGAGCAAATGCAACGGGAAAAATATTTGTTTCTTCACGGGTGCTCCCAAGATCGGCATGGATAGTAAATAGCTGATGAAATTGCTTTGGGCAGCTTTTAAAAGTGCCATCCATGAAAAATGTATTGAATCTCTCCATGATTCTTCTTCCGTTCTTACTTGCAAACACAAGGATTCTGGTATCACTTAAATTGTCGGCTAAAAGAAAGCTTTCTCCATTTGCCATTTTTAATAATTCTTCATGAAGAATAATTTCTTTTGCATTTTTTCGGCTCAGCAATCTGGCCCTGGGCAGTATGTCTAGATCGATAAAGAGCAAACGCCATTGTGAAGAGCAGTGGTTTCAAGGCGCGACCACCGTGCCTCTAGAGCATTGTGACACAATGCTCTAGTGGGGCAGTGGTCGCGCAAAGCAAATGCCATACATATAAGAGGTTTTTTTTTATATATGCAGTTTAATTTTTGCTATTTCTTATTGTTTATGATAGAAATCATGATGTGCGATGAATAACTTTTGAAATTTAAAGTTGTTTATATTAATAAAAGGAAGTTATTTTGTCTCGTTGAAAACGAATTTTAAAAGACATCCGATTTGAAGTACTAAGACCTAAAACATGTATGATTCTGTAGTCATTTTGTGTTTTAGAGGTAAAAGATCAGTAATCAATTGATTTTCACTCAAATATTTCGGAAGGAAGAAGAGGAAAAAAATTCGAAAATTGATGGTTTCAGGGCGCGACCACCGCGCAACAAAGGGTTAAACGATCTGCATGTGAAAATGAGCAAAGTGTGACGAAAAAAGCGAAGACCAGTGACGAAAATTAAGCGCTTCCGTAAGCACTTCACTTTTTCTTTTAATTACGTTTTTATAGAATATGTATTTGTTATTTATAAATAAATGTTTCATCTTGTAAATACATTTCTTCTTATTCAAAAACACTTAACAAAAACAACTGAGGTGGTGTTTTGGGAGCTGGGACGGATTAATAGCATTTCGATTAATATCAATGGGAAACACTGCTTTGAGATACGAGCAATTTGACATACGAGCAAGGTTACGGAACGAATTAAACTCGTATGTCGAGGTACCACTGTAACATGTATATTTTCTTTCTGAAACATTATTTTTGATTTGCCATGTATTTGAAAAACAGCTGAAAATTAAACACTTAGGTTGAAGAGTTCGGCTGATAGACAGATGGAATTTATGTTGGACGAAGCGTTTATATAGCTCGGCATAAATTACTAGATTTACTAGCAATAGGTTTTGCATGTCCAAATTTTGGTAACGATTCAAGAGGTGGTTTCGAGAATTTTCAATGATGCGCATGAAGTTCGTTGTTTATGTCTAAAATTATCGGGATGATTCGGGAGATAGTTTCGAGAATTTTCAATAACGTGTTGTATAAAAATTACTAAACCATTCTGGCGGATTCCGTTGGATGCCACCCTGAAATACTGTATCAGTCACAGCTTCATGAGAGATAATGATTATTCAAACACCCCTTAAACTGCAATCGTATTCTTTTTTTCCTGTGAATTCTTTTACACTGGGAATCAGTAAAAGGATTTATTCCAAAGTTTTGGGAAAAAAATATTTAACGATTTCTTAGACCCAAAGATTCAAATGATCTCAATATGTTGGTCCTTATGTCAATTGCGTGGGGAAACAAAATTACTCTTTAAGCAAAAAGCCTAAACAAGTTAATAGTTTATTTTTAAACAACTATTTTTGTCTCGAATAATAGTTACTCTGCAGTGCACGTTGATGTATATCATTTAATTTACTCTTTTTAAAAGACTGCTCACGAGTTAAAAAGAACTAATCAATTTTCTATTAAGTCATGATTTGTAATTTACTGAAATAAAATGTTTTTATGTAATTGTAGACCAATAAATATGCTTCCGGTTAATTTTACTTCTATTGAAATAAAACAACAATAATTATAAACGGAGATGTATAAACGAAATCAGAATAATATATTTGGTTTCTGTACCTGGGGGGTGGGTGGGAACGCTGAGTTGCTCAGTGTGAGGGTTACAATTTTTTATTTTCTTGTGACTTAACTTTTCTGAACACAAAACAGTAGATAAGAATATGTTCTCTATATTTTGCCTACACGTTCAGAAATCTGAGTTACAAAATCATTTTCATAACTCCGAGTTGTTCAAAAATGTTATTTAGTGGTTTAAAAATGTGAATGTGCCTGCATTCTTTAATTATTTAATACACTTTAGTAATCATTCTTTATCTTCTGCCAGGTGCGTAAAAAATTTCGTTTATTTAAAATTACGTATTCTTTATTCATTTATTGTTTGTTTGATGGTTTCTGTTATCCAGGAAACCAGATTTTGTACATGAGTGTAATATCCGTACGAACTTTCGCGGCCACAGGGCCAGAAGCTCCAGCCCGTGATCCCGACTTGCGTCCAGTAAACGTTGCCATCAGAATCGAATCGTGGCTGCATGAGAGGACTTCCCCTATGACCTAGACAAGCCTCTTCTCCATCTAAAATAATAATAAAATAAAATGGTAGTTCAAAAAAGGAAAAACAAGGTAATTTTTAAAGATCTCTCTCTGACACTATATTTTAAATATTAAATACAGGAAATTTCCCTTAGTTTGATAAATTAGTATTTATAATAAGAATCTATACGGTATTTCTCCCACTTCCTTAGCGTGCCTTCGTGGTGTAACGGTAGCACGCTGGGCCTACTATTCCAGAAGTCCGCGGTTCGATTCCCGGCGAAGGCGGTTGCATATTTTTCATCTTTTCTGCTTCCAATTAACCTAATGTCTCTACAAACCTAGAAAATTCATTAATTTGGGAAAGAATTAGTGAAATGAAATTCTTAATCTAAATGAACAAACCGCTGTACATTTTCGTTAAACAGATTCAAACTCACCGTGTTGTGATTACTTTAGTTTGGATGCCAAACTGGAATCTGTTGTAGACAACACATGCTTTGAGAATTGTTAAATATTTTGAAAATTGCCAATGGTTCTCTGCTGTCTCTCCCAGAATTCTAATTAGTCTCAAAATTAAAGGAATTTGTTCATTTGGTCGATTATCTCCAGAAATGATGAATAGTTTTAAATGAAATTTTATATAAACGTAATACAATATGTAATACAACAACAAACATTAACTCGTATACTATACAAAAGTCATGGTACACACTCATAATCATGCATAAGGCTCATCCGCTCAGGAACGTCTAAAACAGGGCTTCTTAAACTTTTTTTCAGTCGCGACCCTTTTTTATCGCTGGGATTTTTTTCGCGACCCCAGGACCCCATAATATTTACGAAAATTTCACACAGCTTCACAGCGTGACTTTGGGGAAATGGGACAGTTTATAAATTCCTGTGTCAGTCGGTATCTTTTTATCAGTAACGTTTGTCCCAGGCTCTCGAGGGTTCTGGGAAAAAAAAAAAAAAAAAACGCGAGTCACCATTGTCCTTCCAAAAGCGTCCCATATATCGCTCAGCAAAACTATAGGCCTTAGGTCAGGAAACCTGGGTGGCGAATCCAACCATTTAATTTTTTTTAAAGAAAGTTAAATGGCTGTTGTCCCTTCGATCATAATGCATTCAAGGGTTGCTATAAAAATTGTATTCTAGAACGTTGAACTGCAAATATATATTTGATTAAAGTTTTAACAAACAAAAAGGAGGAAACGAAACATTTAATTTTTAAGACCTGATTAATGACTATTATTTCATATATTTTCCAAAAGCGTCCCATATATCGCTCAGCGAAACTATAGGCCTTAGGTCAGGAAACTGGGTGGCGAATCCAACCATTTAATTTTTTTTAAAGAAAGTTAAATGGCTGTTGTCCCTTCGATCATAATGCATTTCAAGGGTTGCTATAAAAAAAATTGTATTCTAGAACGTCTGAACTGCGAATATATATTTGATTAAATTTTTTAACAAAAATTAGGAAACGAAACATTTTAATTTTTAACACCTGATTAATGACTATTATTTCATATATTTTCTCATAGCATTTCTTTAGAGTTATTTATTGTATCAATTATTGTTTGCATTCTATATTATTAATAAATAAATAACTGAAATTTGTAAGGTTTGCTGCTTTCCCATCTCTCCTAATTTCAGCTTACAATTTCCTACCGGTGTATTTTTAGAATCACAGCTAATGCAAATGAGAAAGAGCGGCATTTAAGATGTAGTTCCACTGACTTCGTTAGAGAACCAGAGATTCTGATTAATTCGTTTTTTTAAAACATTTCAGTTTTATGACAATTAACTTGTCTGATGAGTTTATATTTTAATAATAAAATTAAGTAAAGCTTTTTTTCATAAGGAACGAAGTCTGTTTTATGTTCCTCAATTTTTAGTGCGAGATTAAGGCTTACCTCCACCGGCACATAGCATCCTTTCCGTGAATTTCACATTTTGGCTCTTGTTTTTTACAAAATCGACACAATTTTCTTTTGATTGCAGGGTAAGATTGACTTCCTTCGGGTATCTCCTCATTCTGAAGGCTACATGTTTTCTTTCATCCTCTCCGACATCCATACCCCAACCTGTTGCAATGGCGGTTTCATTAGGTTTGTACAGAATGCTGTCCAGTGGTAAATCTGCAAGAGAAAGTGGCTGTGAATTAAAAAGCACATGGCATATAATATGTGTCAGCTCATAACTAAGTACATTTTTGAACAGTAAATACATAAATCTCTTCCTTGAGGAAAGTCAGTGGCTATCTATAGAACTCATCCTGCATCTTTACTTAGTTGTGATCCACTATTCACCAGTTTAATAACTGTAATTTATAGAAGAACGACCCATATCACGATCTGTTTGAGTGCTCGCACACAGGGAATTCGCATTTAAAAAGACCAACTGCAATCAATATGCCAGCCTGGTTCAAGAACACAATTAAGAATAAATATACGCTCAGCCGCATTAGAGACTGCACTACCATTGCTAAAAGCATTGCTGACAACCTGGAGTGACTTCTTTCCTTGGACACCGTGCCGTCAGAAGCCTGCTCTGTACATATATTAATTTACTTAATGTCTTGTGTTTTTTTTTGTTTGTTTTGCGGTTTTTAATTATATTTAATATTATGACTAATCCAGAACTCATTTAATGTATTCCACAATTTGTAATGTATTTGGTCATCTGTACATCTGTACCTGATTTTTATAGCACATCCTTAATATAACTGTATGCCTAACATGTACGATAATAGTGAAAAGTGTTAAGCTTAGTCTCAGCAGTCCCCACCATGCACCTTCTTTCCATGTTCTGGTTTTCACTTCAAGGTTCCTCGTTTCGTGGCCAATCCCCGGAGGACACAGTACTAAGCTCTTTGTTTATATTTATTCACAGTACTAAGCTCCTTATTTATATTTATTCACAGTACTAAGCTCTTTATTTATATTTATTCATGTATTTTTTTAAATTTCATCGACGGGATCCAACAGGCTGAAAAGCACCTAACCCAGCGGGACAGCTGTTCCGTCGACGGTGAAAAGAAAGAAAGTCACTCTGTTGGCAGTATTGTTTTGTAGCGGGATGGAACACTTAAAATACTGTGGAGTTGAGTCCTCTCGGGAGGATGGTGGAAAGGGAAGAAAGATGGAAGATCCTCAGATTCTCCCTTTGGGGAGGGAGAATTTTTTTCAAAACTGGGACGGAATTTAGCAGATTCTTATGAATGCATGAGGCTAGTAGAAATATTTCACAGAACTAAGATTTTCCTTCTACCATGGGCGGGTTCCTAGCCGAAACATGTGTCACTATAACTGACGTCTCGGCTAGCTACGTTAGACACTTTGAAACAAAACTGAAAATCTTTCCTTTGAAGCTTCGTCCCTCATAAATAACCGGAAAGCTAAAATACCGAAAAAAGTCTTTCTTTTTCGACGCGCTGTTCAGGGTAGCTAGTGGATGCGATACCGCTTTTGCTCTCACCGTATAAGGTTCCCAAGATAGAAGCCAAGGACAATCATAACTTTCGTATCTAAGATGCAATAAAAATTCTAGTACTGCTGTCAGAAAAGTAAGATAAATAACTACAACAAAAAATGTGTAAATATGCAAGCAAAGTGACAATGGGGAGGTATGGAGTTCCTATCTAATAATCCCACATTAATCACATTCATGAGAGCCTTTAGTCTCGTTTCGGACTGGTGTGACGACTTAAAATATACCCTCGAATTACGTAAATTTTCAGTTATATAATTGCACAAAAATTTAACATTGAAACTGAAATTTAATACTTAAAAATAAAACCATGTAAAATAATTCCTTTTTTTTCCATACCTGTATTTGTTGCATCCAAAGAACATCTGGCAATTATTTTAATCACTTTGTTATCACTCTCGGTATGTGATGTTTATTTAACTTTAAAATGAATTAGAAACGCGAAAGAAGTTTACATTACGAGTATTTGCTGAAGCGTTTTACCTAATAGACATGCTCAAAGCTTAAATTTCGTCGAAAAACATCACACCCCGTCTCTGGTGTTTCTCAATTTTTGAGTTACAGTACCCGGCGTTAAAAATGCAACACCAAGAAGGAATGGCCAGAAACTGATGAAACTCGGAAAACAGAGAGAATAATATGTGATCTTTATTTCGAAATGATATTCATAATACACAGCGAGAACAGCGTTGGCTCAGGAGGTTATAGGACCACCTTGGACGGCGATACACGAAGATATACGTCTAAGTACAACGTCAATGAGACTACGGATAGTGTCCTGAGGAATGGCTCTCCATCCCTCGTCAACCATTTAGCAAAGTTCGTCTTTTAAAAGCAGAAATGGCAGAGTCTTCAAATGGCATTCAATCACATTCCAAATGCGTTTGATTGGTGAAAGATCAGGGATGAACGGTGGCCACTGAAGTATATGTACACCTTTGCAGAGCACGTTGGCTGATACAAGCAGTGTGTGATCGGGTCTTATCCTGCTGATAAAGGGCACTGGGCACTCCCGGAAGTGAGTTTCACGGGCCACAGCACAACATCCACGTATCGTTGGGCTAAGATTTTCCTGACCTGGAATCGTACGCAATTACGCCCCAAACCATGACGTCCTATTCTCGCGCGGTTGGTTTCATGGACATGGGGCACTCCCCAATTACTTTCGGATTGAATCTGTCTCCACATTGAGGCCACACTCGTACACGGCGACTGTCATTAGAGAAACAAAAACGTGACTCATATGAGAACACGAACCTTGTGCCGTTCCATCGTCCACATCGCTCGAGCCGTTGGACATTGCAGACAATGGAATCTATGATGTGGGGTCAATGGCAGTCTTCAGTGGCTTTTTTTCTTTTCTTAACGGACGCCACGACTGCAGGTCACCAGCCACCAATCGACGGCAAATGGATCTGGACGATATGGGAACATCCAGGGTGTCTTGAACATGCTGCAAGATTGAGGTAGGAATGGCTTGAGCCTGCGCCACCGCTTAATGGCAGATGCGTCGATCCAGGCTTGCTAACGTCACCCTGGCTGCATCGGCATCCCTCGAACTTGCCACATATCCTTATTCCAAACACAGCCAGTGCACCTTTGACGCGTCCAGGTGTGTGTCAGCTGACATCTGCCGTGTGGACCAACCTGCCGTTCTCAGTCCGATCACCATGCCCCTCGTAAAATCGTCTGTGTGCTGGAACTGCCTCCGTTGACGAAGGCCTGGCATTCTGTATGCTATTATACGAGAACATACATCTTCTGAGACGAGAAAACATTTTCTACGATTATTTCCCTAGCAGGAATAACAGCACAAAAACTGAATATTTTGCAGATTCCTTCCCTTATATCTTCTTCAACATGCGATGGACATTTCACATTATTTGTGTAACATGGTGACGTGTGTCTACCCTGAAACTTGCTCAATTTTCGGGCCACTCCTTCTTGGTGTTGCATTTTTAGTGTCGACTGGTGTATATCTTAATTCTAGCTGGAGCGCACCGAAGCCCTCAGCAGTTCTTTTATGTAATCGAATCATAATTCCAGGAGAAAATGTTTTGGATTGCAAAAAGTGTGTTTTGATAATAAGTAAATCTTAGAAATCTATTCTTTCTCCACTGACGCATTCTACTTGAGGGTTTTTATAAGTTTTTAATTTAATTATCTGAGAGTATTTGTCTCTACGGTTAAAATTTTGCCATCCACTTTCAAACTATTTTCTGATAAGCTATAGAGCTCCCATTTTGCACACATAATAACTTTTGGTTGACAATAAAATGTGGTGAAGAAATGTCTTCAAAATTTGTTTGACTTTTTTAAAATTTAATGTTGAAACGTTTTCCTCACATATCTTAGTTTGACAACAAAGAAACACAAACTTTCCGAATTTTTTCCCTCCAAAATTGCTGGTATTTGACGTTATAGAATTCTTAGAAATAAAAAAGCGATTACTCATTGTTGAATAGTTTTTTTTTTGCAATTGAATAATTTGATTGATAACAGGTCATTGAGACTAAAAATACGAAAATTTAAACATTTAAAAAAAGCTTTCGCTAAAATAAGATTTTATTTTAGTATCATAAAATAATTGGTGAACTCGATAGAAAAGTCATTTATCATATAATGCAACAGCAGCAAGAGAATAAATAAAGACTATAAAGGTTACTAGCTAGGACTAACGCAATAATCTGAGAAGTACACAGTTCGAATCACAGATTTATTTTGTCTCAGAGAAACGAGAGATCATGAGACATGTAATGTAACATTTTCCGGAAAATTCCAATCGGGATTTAAGCTAATAAGCACTTGGAAACAATTTCGCTGCTAAAGTGCAGAATCGTCCACTTATTTGTTTGGTGCTTTTTACAAGAGTAAGAAGAATTGAATTTTTGTCAATTTTCTTTGACTTTTTAAGTGAAAATAGGTCGATGTGTACATGGATAAAGTCAAGAGTGTGCGCAATGCCATTTTTGAGCAATTCTGGGATGTTTTTTTAAGTGAAAATAGGTCGACGTGTACATGGATACCGTTATATGCAATTCTTAAAAACGCGGCAAGCAGTGGGCGATTCTACAGTTCTCCCAATTTCGCATCTAATCTTCATCATGATTAAGCACTTTTGTTCCATGAAAGTTCTAGCATAAGCGTAATTCGGCTAGCAGATTGTTGGAAAAAATGTTGAGTAAAAAGAAAAAAAAATGCCTTTACTTCGTGAAAACAAAATGGCGTCTAGAAAAAAGAAAAAAACTAGCAGGTTGCTGTAGCAGGGTTGCTCGCCAAAATTTCTCCAAAAAATCGCCAAGTTAAAATAATCCGAAGATTGACCTAAAAAAGTAAGCGCCTGAATAACGAAATTAAACAATCGAATTGCATAGTCAAATTTAAATAATTAACTTTAGCAATTTATCATTGGCGATCTTCGCTTTAATTATCTGACTATTGAGTGACTATTAAATCGACTGCTCTCTTAAGTTTGTTACTAATTCAGAGTCTTGATTGTCTGTACTTGGTTTTTAAAGATTGATTGATTCAAGACTGCCAAAGAAACGGTATCATAAATTGTATACATCAGCACACGTATTTTGTGACATTCATAAGAACAGAGTTATACATACTTGTTGGTGGCAGACAGATAGGCCTTATAAAGGCATTGTATACGATGGGTGCCTCTAACTTCAGAAGAGCGATATCATAATCATAATTCCCGTCGTTGCTGTATTTTTCGTGAATATATATTTTCTCGACATCAATCACTTCCTCGTACGCTTCGTTCTGAATATCCGTCAGACCTGAAAAAATTGTAATTAAGCAACACTTACTCACTCTGCATGAAAGATAAAATTTATACGCTAAACCAATACAAGAGTTAAATCTAGTAAAGCTTCTCCAATTTTTGGCTACAACTTGGAACTTTTTAGTTTATTTACCAGTTTTCTTATTATTTTTGCTTTACTATAACTTCTCTTTCGTAGGCATCTACCAGGGTGCAAAATAGTTAATGCATTATTTGAGATGCTAAGGCAACAAGAATCAGCCTAATATCCATAAATTTGCAGGACTAGTTTCGAAGGTTTTTAAATATAGCACTTTCTTCATCAGCGGTAGACTTACAAATGGCGGAAGAGGAACTTGACTTATGCAAAAGAATGGAAGGAAGGCAAGCTACTAACGCCATCTCTTGACGAAAAAATGGAAATAACTATGAAATAATTTCCTTGAAATGTGAGGCTGAAGATAGACTGGAATAGAAATAAATACCTACTTAGAAAGATTTTTATGAATGTGAAACATCTCTAGAAATTCTAATTCGCTAATTAAGATGTTTTTGAATATTTTTGGGAGCAGAAAAACAAATAATGTGATTTTCTGAACAACTGTGTTGACCAACAGATGCTTTGTGTTTCTTTTCCTAACATATGCTTCATGTTCCGAGAAAAACGAAGTTTCGATTTACAAAACACTTATCAGACCCGTTTCGACGTATAATTCTGAGACTTAGACAATGACAAAACTGAATTGGATTGGATTGGATTATTCAATTATGGCAAATCACACGAGGGCTATCTGCCTAAAGGGAGGGATGCCTTCGTGGAGGACTTTCTACGGGAAACTGGCTCGTATACACGTTACACATGAGGAAAACCATGAAAACGCCCATACAGCCAGCCCGTTCGCGGGATTCGAACCTCGGACCGAACTACCAGTGTTCAGCGACTTTACCGCTCGGCCGCTGGTGGGCGAACAAAACTGAAGGAGAATCGTATTGCAACTTTTGAAAGAAAAATTCTACGGAATATTCTGTGCTTTCCACTTTCATTACTTAAGATTACATATATTGAAGAAACGATTCTGCTTCGAAAACACAATTTCTATTCACTTCGCACTGAACAACTGATCGAATTTAGGAAAATAAGTTTTGAGCCAACTTTTTTTACTTCCTTGTACGAAGTAAAAAAGCAGTATTGTAATCGCGAAATATTTCGGGTATCATATTTCAACGAAAATATCCATTTTGACGGCTATCGAATGCAATTTAGCAATGTTTTTACATGACATCTGTGCGTAAGGACAGTGTGTGTGTGATTGTGGCAAAGCCTCGAGGGCTATCTGCCTAAGGGGAAGAATGCCTTCGTGGAGGACGTTTTAAGGGAAACTGGCTCGTATACACCTTACACATGGTGAAAACCACAAAAACACCCATGCAGCCAGCCCGTTCGCGGGATTCGAACCTCGGACCGAACTACCAGTGTTCAGCGACTTTACCGCTCGGCCGCTGCACTGTAAAAAAAAAATCTGCAAGGTTACTAAGAAAACTCATGGAAACTGGGATGCCATGGGTTATTTGAGTAACAGAAGCAGGTGTTTTCTTTGTAACATTACAAGAGTTTTGCCTGTAATGGTTACAGATCTTTTTCTTGTAATATCACAGCATATAGTTATGTAAGTAGAACATATTTTTCTCATGTAAATTCCCAAACGATATATCTGTAATGGTTACAGATTATTTGCGTGTAATATTACAGCAAATAATTATGTAAAAAGAACTATTTTTCTCATGTAAAATCTCAACAGATATATCTGTAACCGTTACAGGTTATTTGCTTGTATTATTTCAGCAAGTTATTATGTGAGTAGAAGATACTTTTCTTACGTAAAATTCAAATGGTTGTATCTGTAAAGGTTTCAGATTATTTCCTTCTAATATCTCATTAAGTAATTATATATGTGTGTAGAATATTTTTCATAGATGAAATATTAAAGGATATGTCTATAAAAGTAACAGATTTTTGTCTAAAATGATGCTTATTATAATAAAATACATTGAAATCAATATGTTTTGAGTAAAACAATGATATCTGTATGTATATATATAATTTTGATTAATAATCGATTTGAGCTTAATTTGATAATTAAGTTCAAATTAATATGCTACTTTTTACATTAAATTACATGTATATCCTTTATATAAAATAATGAAATGGCATTTGGAATTTATATTTGGCCTGTAAAATAGCTGAGAAAAAAAACAATATGCTTTATTTGCATGTTTTAGTGTCAATTATTAAGATATGTTCTAGAACTTTCTTTTTAGTAATTTTAGCTAAAATAGACACATGTTGCTTTAGATTTAACTTATATGAGTAAACATGTTGCATGTTGATATGATCATATTATTACTGTAAAAGACATTTTGTGAAATATTTCTATGAAGAACTCAGAACAGCTGTTCTTTATGTTTCAAAAATATATATTCTCTTCTTCTAAAAAAATGACATTTTCAGTAAATTAAAGAATTCAACATAGCAATGAACTTCATTTTGTTACTACAAGGAATTCAAAATTTTGTTCATAAGCTTGAATTACAACGTCCAACTAATCTTTTATTATTATTATCTGCACTCAGTGTTTGTCAACAGTCTGCTATTGTTTGAAATAATAGATGGTAAATGCATAACTTTTTAACTTACCTTCAAATAATTTCCTTTGAATTAACAGATAGAAGTCTTTCATTAAAAACCTAATGTCATACTTTTTGAATAAGCATAAAACTTCACCAACTGACCTTAATTTTTCAAAGCCTTGCTTCCATTAAAATTCTTAATGCTTAATACAATTATGCCTTTAACAAATTTGTTTCAAAAATTAATACTTCAGTTTAGCTTAAAATTTAATGCATTTTAATTTTACCTATAATTTTTTATAAACATGATATGTAATAAATTTAAGCTTAATATTTACCATTTAGAAAGTGATACTAAAAAAGTATTCCTATTTATTATAAAGTTCGAGATTTGCATACAAAATTGTGAAATATACATGTGACACCAGAAAACAAACTTTATGCCCTATATATATATATTTACAGCATGTTAATTAAGAAGTTTATTGAATTGATATTTTAATTTATTGTGAAACATTATGAAGCAAATAATATGCTAATTAAAATACAGAAGTAAAAATAATTTACTTAATTCATAAACTTTACATAAAATCTGAAAAAAAGAATTAATCACAAATAACACAATATAATATTTCATAAAAATTCGTTTCGACTGCTTGGAAAAAATGAATGGTTTTTCCCTCTTTGTAAACCATGCCTCCTAAATAAAGAAAAAAACATTTTTTAAAAATCATAACCATGCTCTTAAAAAGCTTATAAAAATTATTTTAATAGATGTTTTAAACGTGTGCTTATATAACACTTTTAATCATATTTCTTTATAATATCTTAAGAAATTAAGAACAGCTTAAATTCTTTAAAATATTAGATTACAGTGAACCGTCTCATTACGACAAACTACCCCTGTCAACCACTTTTTAAATTTACCCAGCATTCCTCATAAAATAACTAATTAGTAAACATAACTTCTCTAGCATGCCCACTATCATTGAAGATCAAAATCTTCAGGAATCACGTATAGCTAGCTTAGAGAAGGTTCATTGTACGAAAACAGCCAATATGCAAATCTTTTCATAAATGAAGCAACCATAGTTATTAAATATAATATACAGTATACTTATATTCAGAATTCATAACTTGAATAAATTTCCCGAACTATTCTAGCATTAGAAAAATATTGTATTTATTACCTTAAATTTCTAAAACAATATTACATATTCGTCCAAATGAATAACTGGGACTCGGACAACATTTTCCCCCTAGCTTTCTTTTAGCACAGGATTCTGAATATGTTTTAATGATTTAGGTAATGTTTGTCTTCCTTAAGGCGCTCACAAAACAAGTTACCCTAAATTTTTCGTCCGCATAGTAGTCGTTTTCATCTTACTAACTGATTTGCTAAGGGATTTTGGGTGCATGGCCTATCATTGATGAAACAATAATAGTGAACAGCTTCAAGAAAATGGGGATACCTAATGCTCTTGATGCCATATTCCCACTTATTTTACCCTGTCGATTTTGGGTACTTCAGATCGCTAGATATGTCCCTTAAGGATCGACCACATTTGTGATACCCGATAATTATACCATTCTCGAAATCAGAAAGCTCCGAACTGCGAGGCATCTTGCATGCGACTAAAGCAGATGCTGTTTCCTACACGATATATACCGGCGGAGTCCGTGACGTACCTTAGGACAGCAGATATCGTCACTTGCATAAGTGTCCAAATACTTATTGGTAGTCAGTGTATAACAAATGAAAAGTAATCATGGATAAACTACTACTATCACAATATTATCTCTTTAAAAGAAACCTATAGTTCAATAGGAATACACACAGTTGCAACATCTAATAAGTTATCTCATTTCTACTTCTTTATAATTTGAATTGCTTTCATTCTCATTGTTGTTCTTGCAACTCTTAGGCCTCAGATCATACATAAATAATTAGAGAAGGTGAAGTATGCAGCTGATATGGCAAAATTGCACAGTGAATGGCAGTTGGTATTTGCTTTCACTATCATAGATCATTTTTTTTTATTAGGCTGACATAATATTCAACAGTTAGAAGAAGAGAAAGATTCAACGGGGCCTTTAGTGTGCAAAAGTTTGCCTTTGTTAGTATGACGAAAACAATCATTATGTCGATACAAATCCATTTTAAAATCTTGGGATCTTCATTTTCTGAATGCATTAAAAAGGGGAAAATTCTGCAAATATTTTTTTAATTTTGAGAATCTGGTTCTAAAGCTGGGTGGGGTGGAAAATGCAACGCAATACGGTAATTCTGAAGATCATTGCTCGTGGTAGTACAAACTGAACGGTGATAACTTGCATGCTGTAGAAGACGACACAAATTGCAGTTCCAGATGCATTAAATGCTTTGAGGTCTAGGGAGTAGCAGTGGACAATAATAAGAGTGAAATTCAAGGTATAGGGAAGTAGGAATGAAAATTATTATTAATCAGATACTGAAATGTTAATGTTACTAAGCATTTTTATTGGAATGTAGGTCTCTTTTAAATAATAATATGATAGTTACCAGTAGTTCATTCATGGATATTTTTGATTGGTTTTCTTACTGTAATGATCTTACAGTAATCACATCCTTCAAAATTAAATGGATTGCTTAATTTCCCCCTTGATTTTCATACTATAATATTAGTAAAAAGGAAGAAAAAGTCTGCAAGTAAACATAACTCCTGTTTCTCTCTCTCAGTATATAGGCATGTATCTTCGTGGGCAACTAAGCAAAACAAATGCGACTTTTTCTTCTTTAAAAAAATTTGTGTTAATAAATATGATGAGAATTAAGTTTATTTTAAAGACTTATGACACATGAAATATACTGAAATAATAATGATCAAAATAAATTAGAAAATTATAAATTACGTGTTTAAGTTGCAATAATTCAGTTGTAATAATTAATACTAACAAAACCAAACATCATATTCCCGTTCTGCAAAGTATAAAAATTCTTCTGCAAAACTGCAAAAATTACCAACACTTTGATTTATTTGATAACTTTCAAATTCACTCCTTCGTTTGCATTTAGAATTTATAACTTTAATTTTCCACAGAAATTTGTTTTTGATTTAAAAAAATTTCACTGGCATAATTTTCTGCATATTCGCATCATTTAGACTGATAGAATATGGCAAAGGATGCAAAGGCTATCAACCTAAAGGAAAGTATATATTCATGGACAGCTTTGTAAGAAAAAATAGCTTGCATTTCCATTTATTCATGCGTGTGTGTATATATATATATTTACAATTGTTAATGCTAAAATCAATGCTTCATTAAAATTTTATTATTATTTTTTAATACTAACATACAGATGCAGAATTGTTTTAAATTCCAATAAACAATAATAATTTATTTTTAAGAAAACTTATTTTATGATTTATATATTATATTACATGAATAAGAGAAACATTTGTCAAGAAATGTATTAAACTTGTATTAGCAGATTCATGCTATCCTAGTAACAAGACTATCATACTTCAAAACTGTATTAAAACTGGGCAAAATAAAATCAACATAAATTCTACATTAAATGTTTAAAACTTATAAGTATGCAGTGGTAGATATTTATACAATATAATAAATTTTGTCATTTATAAAATATTAATGAAATGATATTTTTGGAAATATTGTACAAAATTTTAGTTTTCGTTTATAACTAGTTTAACGAATTTTTAGAAAAATATTTTAGGATCATTTCCATCTTTCCCCTGTTGATATTGGTATATTAAAATATATGGAATAATTAAGGTGCATCCAGTAAGTAAAACAGAACATAACGAAAAGTATTTGATGCGACATATTTTTAATCAATATAATTACTTCATTTTGGAATTATAACATTTTCGTAAGAAATTAATACCAGTGAAAAAAATAATATTATTACACTAAAGAATAAATGAGATTTTCGACCGCGTTGTTCAAGTTTTTGTAATTTTACTTCATAACACACTCGCACATAAACATATTATTAGACTGAATCATAAACCAAGTATAATTAATCAGGTAATCCTAAAGAAAGAATAAACTAAACCTAATAAGCAAAAAATATATACATTACATTCAGAATTCTAAATGTTTACATAAACGTTTCTCCCAAGGCCTGCCGGGAAAAAGATGTCAAACGTTCTTTGGTCAGACGATTGCTAACGAACGCTAACATAATTAATATTGTTTTCAAAAACCACATTACCGGTTCAATTAAATACCACAACAGTGATTAAATTTTGGAATAATTAGTTATAAATAATAATACGGGCAATTTAAGGCGTAATTTATCGGATGCACAATGACAAAATACTACTATTAGATCTGCATTTGGAATAAATATTTTGCACTCTTTCAACTCATTAGACATTACGAACACTGATATTAATTAATCGCTAAGCTTAAACGTTTAAATACTTACTCACTACATGTAACAGTGCAAAGTGCATGAGAATAATTTGCATAAAATGAACAAAACAAAAAAAAAAATATTTCAAGCAGTAATTGTAAACATTTTCTTACTTACCTGCGCTATACAACCAACATGCATTCAGCCATGTTTTTTTAGCTTTCGAACACTTTTCTCCTGATTGGCTAATTTTCAGTCAGTCACGTAATTCATCCGAGCGGCTACTGAAACATTATCTGTAATGCTACAAGCAAATCTGCTGTACCCGCCACAGTTTGCTTTCAACCCGTTACCATTACAGGAAATTCTTGTGTAACTTTTTGATTTCTGTAAGTTTACAAAACTTTTGCTTGTAAAGAGCGAACTTTTTTCTTTTACCGTGTGGTGCGCCCTGCGTAAGGTCGCTAAAAAAGAACTCTTTTTCCCCAAACGAATTATAAAACTGATTTAACATAGATTTAGAAAAAAAAATTTTCTGGCGTCTGTACGTACGTATGTATCTCGCATAACTCAAAAACGAATAGTCTCAGAACGATGAAATTTTTTATGTGGGACTGCTGTAACATGTAGATGTCCACCTCCCTTTTTGGTTGCAATCGGCCACACCAAAAGTATGTTAATATATATATATATATATCCATTCTGTTACTCGTCCGGTTAAGGTTTTTATGTCTTTAGTTAACCTGCATGTTACAGTTGTGTAATTATCAACAATTTAAAAGTTGTATAAGTGCGGTTAACCCTATTTTTTTTAACTATAGCAGCCATGTTTGTTCACATTTGAAACTTAGCAGATGTAAGCAGAACAATGTAATAATGTTTGTTATTAAAAACAGTATTATAGCTTTGAAATATAGTACATCTTTTCCGAACGTCATTAATACATTACGGTATGGCAAAATTGCTTTCAGCAAAGTTAATTTTCCATGGAAAATATGCGTTAGCTATAATTCAGACTAAGAAGCCGTTGCTACGAAATTTGTCTAATGCAACATGAACGGCTTCATTCATGAAAGGCTTCATTCAAGATTACAGGGGCAAGTCTATTTAACATTCAGTAAATGGCTATCTCGTTAAGTTGTCGAGATATTACCAAGCTGACCATGTTTTTCGCGACTAATTTTCGTTCCCATATTTGGCGTAAAATTCTCAAACTCCGCCAATCGTGGCAACCATTTGGCGATATTTTGGTCCGGTCTTTATAAAACTATAATCCGGCAGTGTAATTGATCCCTGTAGGTACCTGTAACGGTATCCAGCCGTTATGTGCACCTTTAACCTTAATATACCTTTTAGTAATTTCGCGAAAGGAAAGGTACTGGAAATTCCTCTGTTTCCGGGAGAAAATTATATAAGACCGAGAAGAGCATCGGTTCTAAGTTGCTTAGTTCAGAATTCAGAGTACTTAGAGATCTCCGTTCAAGTTCCGCTCTTTGGTTTCGCTTTGCTTCGTTGTGTTTAACGTTAGTTAGAAGTGGTAACTACTGATTATTCTCGGTCATACTAAAAAGAGCTATACGACTACATTTGTGGAAAGTTCCAGAATTGAACAGTGTTTCTTTTGAGAAAGTAAATTTTATCAAGCTATCCTCAATTCTGTGTACACTCAATCCGTTACGGACCCTACGCACGAAATAATTTTTGTTGTCAGGACTGGGGTTAAATTCCGCTGACAAGAGCGATGGAGGATAACTAAGACAACTGGTGACTGCTGCATTCCAAGAAAAAAATGGAAAAGGTCATCAAGTCCGTGGAAGAAGAGATAAAAGTGAGCAAGAAAAGGCGGAAGGGGCCGTCAACTGTCTGTTAAGGAGGAAGTGAAGCGCGTCAAGACTTGATTGAAGCAGCTCAAGAGGAAATGAAAAGAGAAAGCTCTTCCGTAATAGAAAATATCTGCTGCCGAACAACAAATCGAAGAAAGAGTTTCTACTGTCCAAAAATAAATCGAAGAAAGGGTTTCTACTATCCATCAACGAACTGATGGCAAAGTTTCTGCAACTGTCTCTAAAGAAGTTCACAGCTTGAAGAAATCCGTAACGACTCCAAAACTTTCCACGTATAACAGTAGCCTGTTACAGGTCGATTGGAAAACATGCTGTTATCTATTCTAGCTAGCCGCTGATTGAATGGTGTTGAAGGGAAGACAGGAATTAAAGATATTTTCCTCATTCATACTTGTGGTACAGCAATGAGAACATCCAATTAGCAGTTGGAAGACTAGAATTTAATTCAAGGCGCAGGTGCAGTTGAACTTGAAATGACTCTGCACATGTATGTAAAAGAATTTCTCACCTAAATGAACAGTGATTTGGTTTTCCTTTCTTTCCTCTTCTATGGCCTCGTAGTAGACGCAATGAGCAGTTGTCAATATGTAAAGATCGTGAATGATGGATCCACTGCACTTTATCTAAATAAAGAAAAATAGAGATACAGAAATTGCTGATATGAGTAAGGTACTTAATACAGATAGACAGAAGAAAGTCTGAAATTGCTCCGAAAATCAATTTTCACGTATGTAATTTATTTTATTCAGAAAAAATGTAGTAAGACATCCTTTTTATTCGTATCAAATAATAAAATAATAAAATTAGAGAATATATTCTGCCTATTAATAAATGTTTTCACTTCAATTTATAATAAACTCATGATTTACAAACATACGAGAACGGCGACGGGCATCCAAAGGTAACAGAAAATAATTCATTTATTACATTGCCCGGTGGCGCACATAAGGACGTCCAAGGGGGCACAACCCCTCCCCCATCACCCTTGTTTTTGTTTCGATTGATTATAATTCTATGTAGATTGTACGTAAAATAAATCCAAATAAAGGTAACAATAATTTCAGTTCTAATAAATGAAAATATAAAACTTCTTTTCTCTTTATCTTTCCCTTCAAAACCGAACTTACATGCGAACATAAAACACCCTCTTATTCTCAGAACTGAACTATTGATAGCTGCCAGAGGTGGCTCTTCTACTTACTCATTTTAATCTTTTTCATGCCATAACTTCTTCTGAATTTCTAATCATTTGTTTATCTTCTCATACACTACACATATGTTAAGTTTTGTGATACTTCGTTTCTTTCTGAGTGCATGTATTTTTTGTGAAGAGAAGGAAATTTCGCTGGTTGTACTTAGAGGTGGTTAGACGTGTTTTAGATTGCTCGTGCTGATACCCTTCGCTACGTCACCCACGCGGGTTTGTCTCCTGCCATTTTGTTCCCCACATTGGAGTACAATCTTTTTCGATGTGATATTCTGATGATTCGGTTATGTGATTTAGTGACTGTGTAATTTTCTGTATTTTCTGTGCTATTTCGATGTTTTCATCATGGTGAGAAAGGAAATTCTCCCGTTAATTAATTTCTGATTCTGGAATTAAAATGATCGCGGCTTAGTTCCGTTACCTTTCTACTGCTATTTGCAAAAGACGCAATAACGACGTCTATGCAACAAAAACCTCACCTGCAAAGACGTAATAGAGACGTCTTTGCAACGGTTGCAAAACAGCGGATGTTCGCGGACACCTGGGCGTTTTAAAGACGACATATTGCAACGACATCCGCGACGAGTTTGCAACGTCGTTACGACGTTGCTGTGCTACTTGGGATATGGTGGCAATGATATGACAAGCGATACAATCTTTTAAAGTTTTCGACGCAAAATGCCAAAACGAAATTAATAGTCTTCAGGGCAAATTGTCCCTTTGGACTAAAAATTGGTTAGAATGTGTACGATAGGATGGGGTGACAGACACTATTCTATAATCGTCATGATGAAGCTTTTCCCTGCCGTTATAACAGTCTTTGAAGAAATTTCGGTTTGGAAAGAGAGAAGCGTAGAAAGAAAAAAAGTATCAAAGCTCTAAATTAGAGATTGTAGAATTGTAGATTAAATTGTAGAAAGCTCTAAATTACACGAAATCAGTAATTGAAAGTCTCGAGGATTTTAAAATGTATGTCGATTGTATGTTTAAAGAAATATATGACGAAGCTGAAAATTCATTGAAATGATTCAGAAGGAAATAATGCAAAATTGAAAATGCCCATGTTTCATGCCGGAAAGTGCTCCGGTTATCGTAATAATTAAGACAGAATAACACGCCGAACAAACACTAATTCAGAAGACAAACAACAAAAATCAGCGTTATATTTACAAAATTTCCACAGGACTAGTTTCGATGGTTTTACCGAACCAACATCCTCAGCTGCAAAACCGCAAATCTTTCTCCATTTGAGAAGTCTAAAACATACTTAGGAAGTACCACGGATGATGAACGTTTAATTCAAGCAACGTCACCATCACTCCAGAGGAAGTTATAAATGAAACCGAAAAAAAGAAAAAACCCAAGAAAACTATATTTTATTCTGTGACTATTAGTAAGCCTATGCAATCAGACTGATGACTAAATGAAGACGCTGTAATTATGATGTTTTTAGATTTGTAATTTCAGATTAAAGTCAAATTTTTCTTCTTCTATGACTTGGTGCTTTTATAATGATGAATTTGCTTTGCTGTTTTTTTTTTGCATTATGAGAAAAGTAAATACATAAATTGATATGCTTTCTAGTAATTTAATGAAGTATTTGTTATTAATAATTTATTTTATAAATTAATGCTAATTTTATATTTTATATTCAATAATTTATTTTTTACTGTTTCTCGTTCTCGACAACGAAATATCGACCCTCGACTCCTCTTGAAACATTCCTGACTGCTCCACTGGCTCTGCCTAAGACAAAAATCCTAACTTGGGGAAGAAACTTACGTATCAACGCATCACGATTGTTACGAAGCAGGTCGTTTCGACGCCAACGTTTCGACACCGCGGCAGTTCGACGCCGTACGTTTCGACGCAGGGGCAGTTCAACGCCATATTTTTTTCGTATGTTTCTTTATTTTTAGAATAAATATAAAGTAATATAAATAAGTAATATGACTGATTTTTATTTATTGAATTAGCAATTGTTTGCATGCATATTTGAAATAATATACGTGTGTACAGTAAGACCCCGCTTAACGCGGGGGATACGTTCCATCGAAGTAGAGCGTAATGCGAAACAGCGCTAAGCGATTATCATGTAAATAATGGGGTTAGGGAAAGACGGATAAAAAATGGTTAGGCATTAAATTTAATAATGTTTTTTTTTAATAAAAATAAAATCAAACATTTATTTCTTACAAAAATAAAAACAATATAAATGCATATACTTTTAAAAACAAATAAAATTCTCAGTCAGATCATTCAGTCTATTCCGGGTTTCCAATTTTCTGCCTTTTTGTCAAGAAGGCATTATGATAGATTGGCTTAATGGCATATTGCGTTCAATTTCGTCGTCAATCCATATAGACAGTCGTTTTTCCATTTCCTCTATAATGTTATTTCTAGAACGGGTAATTCTAGTTGCAGAGCTTGACGTAGTTGCAGTTGCCGATGACAGTATTTTTTCTTTATTCTTAAGAATTGTCCTTATTGTTGAAGTTGCCAAAATCAAATGCAGCACTAATTTGAGATTGACGTTCACCAGAATCTAATCTTCTAATCACTTGCATTTGAGTTTCCAGTGAAATGCTTTTTCTGGTTGCTTTCTTTTCTTGTGTTTTACTCGTATTATCACCCATGATAAAAACTAAAGATCATACATAATATTTGTCACTGTATTATTAATCTTTATAGTATTATATATCAAATTTAAACTTACAATAATGTCAACAAATGTTGTTTCAAATGATTAAAAAGCAAGAAACACAACTACACTGTTTCGGATATGTTATTTGGAAACCTAGCGCTGCGCACAATTTCGGAGAATCCCCGGGTTGAAATAAAAGAGCGCTAAACCGAAACAGCGCTAAACGAAACAGCGTTAAGCGAGGTCTTACTGTATATGTGTGAAAGTGTTCTAGATTTTTGTCAACGTCAACGTCAACGTCAAGGCCCCAGGACATGAGGGAGGGTTTTTTAAATTTATTTATTTCACAAAACAGCATCAAAAAAGGCAAAATACACAAATGGTAAATAAACATATGGTTACAAAGTAGTTATATTGTATTGCAGACAAATATAATTACAGATAGATAAGATTACAGATAAATAAGATTACACATAAATAAGATTAGAGATAAATAAGATTAGAGATAAAAAAAAGATTACATCACAGAACTGTTATTATACTAATCCATTGCAAAGTTATGCGCCACACCCTTTCAGGTATTCCATTATTTCTCGATTTTCAAAATCTTCAACTATTACTTTAATTCTCATATCAGCTCGCAGTTACCTATTCGGCTTGTGCGGCGGTTCATCTCTACGTACAAATTTTTCATAACATTGATCAATTGATTTTTGAACACGCCTGAGACCATCTATGAATTCCCATAATGTGGGGTGGGAAATACCAAATGATGATGACACCAAATTTATTTGAATGATGATGCAAACTTATTCTAAAAATAAATAAAATTACGAAAAGTATTGCGTCAAACAAAAGCAAAAAAAGTATAGCGTCGAACTGACCCCGCGTCGAAACGACCTCGTGTCGAATTGACCACGCGTCGAAACGCTGGCGTCGAACCGTTGTCGTCGAACTGACCTGTACCGCGATTGTTCAGTCTGTTTTTAGTAAAGCGGAAAGCCTTTTCCTGATTATGAAACGACATTACAGAGTTAATAAAATAAGAGTAGACATATATATGAGAGAAATTAAAGTTATTTATAAGCAATTTCAAGTATCTTATTTAACAGCGGGTAAACTCCGGTTGAAACACTTAAGTTAATATCGCATTCCCCAAAATTAATCTCAGATGTGTGAAATGCTATTTGTGTTACTCGATATTTCATGGATGTATTATATCAAGATTCAAGAAGTTTTAAAACTGCAAAACACTTCACCTTTTTTGTTCCTACCACAATGTTTCGTACTTATGAGATGACGTTGAACATGCAACCATATCATTTATGTGTAACGAATTTTTCTTACCTTTGGTTCTTCAGATCCTGACGTAAAACAAAGTGCAGCTAACCAAGGCCATGTTTCAGTGTCTTGTCCAGTAATCGGGTTTCCTCCGTCTGTTATTGTACGATGTTTAGGGCGCAAACCACAACGAGAATAATCTGAAATATCAAATATATTTTGTCACGAATTTCTCACAGTTAAAAATTCCATTTTTATTATTTTGCCTATCCGTTTCTTTAGCACTCTGCTGCAGACTCGGTGTAATTTTTTTTTCTTGCTGAAGCCCTGTTAACTGAATCCAGGAATGCAGTGAAAGAAAAGCATAAAAAGTACTATATTGCCTTAAGAATACTATGGGGGTGACTGGTTATTCAATTCCGTTGAACTTAATTGCACACATGTGATCCAATACGTAAGTAGAAGTATCACAAGCGTGCTGTAGAAAATCTTCCAAAATTTTCATATCCCTCCCCTCTCAAATACTCAGTAATCCAATCGATATTATATTTCCTAGATTTGTATGACTTTTTTTTTATATAACCAATATCATTGTTAATGTTTAAAGATAATTGTTCTCACTCATTTCAGCGAACTGCATTTTTAGCCCCGAATGGGATATTAGTTTCTCAACGGCATTTTGCGTCGAAACACTTAAATGCATTGTATCACTTTTCAAATTGTTGCCACTAAATATTATCGCCCTGTATTACATTTAACGAAATTAAATAACGAAGAATTTGCACGAATATATGTGCGTTTCTCACACTGTGGAAAACAACAGAACCTAAGAGCCGTCCAATTTTGAACAACGTAGTCCTGCACCCTGCACCTGGGAGATCGCATTCTGAATCTCGAATTTATTTTGCTATGATGTAAGGTTATCCTAAGTTTATAACAGTTATTTTGAAGTTAAAGCTCCTATCCTGTCTATCATAATTTCAGCTTATAAATTCCTTACCAGAATGTGCTTTTAGAATCGCGTTTAATGTAAATGAGAAAGGGTAGTATTTAAGTCGAAGTTCCACTGACTTCGAGAGTAAGAATCAGAGTTTCTGATGAACGCGCGTTTGCCACGTGTCTCTAAGCTGGGCCGTATTACGGGCCTTTGATAGCTTCACTAGCTAATTCGATATTTAGGGCCAACTACTTAGAATTGTGATTCGCTTAGCTGTTCCTCCACACTTAGTTAAGAGATAAAAAAGGATAACCACAATCTATTTCATATTTTGTAAAACTTTAACCAGTTTTCCATTGACAAACTCAACGATTTCAAAGCGAGCAGTCGCAACACTGTACAGAATAAAATACTTTTATCTCCCGCACGCTAGACTCTCTGTCGGAAATTCTAAAGATATGCTATTTTTAAATATTTTGTGATTTTGTTGTTGAAATAAATTTTATGTGGCTGAGCACCAAGAACGCAATATTTGAGTAAACACAAAGCGTTAATAATAGGTTTCACAAAGGCATTTTAGTAAGAAAACTGAGCATATATCAATGTTCAGTTTTCTGATTAAGATGGCCATCATATCAGATGAACTGAGAAAAGACTGACAAACGCTGCATCGGAAATTCATCTGACTTAACGCTGCATCTTGAATTTATCTGCATCCGACTTAACTTTTAGTTTCGAGAATTCTAAACGTATACTCTTATACTGCTTTTTAAAATTTCTGTGATTTTGCTGTTGAACTGCATATGGTGTAATTGCGAAGAAACTGATGTTTAGTAATAAAGCGAAAAAGAAAAAGGGAGGGTCTTAGTAGGTACCAATGTAACAGCAGACTGCGATTTCAGTGATTTCAGGGCCTCCTAGGCACTGGCTTTTGGATCCGCTAACACATGAAACAGAATTTTAATGTTCAATTTTTAATATAAAAATATATTGTTACGGATTTGGTATTTAAATAGATTATGTTACTTGAATTGTAAATTAAATGGTTTTATTTCCCGCTCAGTGCGGCGCGTGGCGAATATTAAAGGAAAGCTAAGCCACGTGCATTTACCATTAAATAAATAAATATCTCTTTTCGATTTCGAGAAAGTTCTCGCGCGATTTAAAAATCTTATAAAAAGGAGAAAAACCTCTCAATTGGTGATGATATTAGTTTAATTATTCCAATCTGGATAACCTGTTTCAAAACTTGATAATTATTAATATATCCAATATTTCTCATTGCACGCGTAAGCTGCTTTGCTCGGAGTCTGAACTTGGGTGGCAGACCACCCACGTGACAGGCTCCTGCCAATCATCTCCCTCTACTCCACCTGCATTTCACAAAATTTGACAAGTTTGACCTAGTTGGCGCGGCGTAAATCGCCTTAATTAAAAACTTAGACCATCAGAGACGGTTAAAGTAGCGGTTGGCTACTATTTGCCGCCTAGCTATTGACTCGATTTCGATTTCTATTTCAATTGGTGATTGTAGTTAGTTTGTTGTTGTTTTAAGAGTTTGCTTAGAAAACTGCTCTTGTTGACCGTAGCGAATTAGCTTTCTTTAGCTGTTTTGAATTAACTTCTGTTGAACGTTTGAGTAGTTAAGATAACTACTTTGAGTTATTGTAATACTGAAAGAATACCCGAGGAAATTTTTATTGTGATAGTAATAAATTTTGTCCATTTTTCACCGACTTGTGCATTCAATTCAAACGAACCCGTACGCACACAACAATATGTAAAAATAAAAAACAAAACAGTATTCTTCTAAAAAAATATTAAATATAAAAACAACATTCTAAAATATAACAAAGGTAAAAATAAAAATAACATTCTAAGATATAACATAACACATATCATAACATTATTTTTCGTGACTTAATATTGGCAAACTGACGTTTGATACCATCACTTATAAGATGTAGAGTTTACTTGTCTAACTTCTCAGTGAGAACTGTTAGAGTAGTAACTGCACAGAAGGAGTCTTAAAAGTATCCTTTATTAACTCTTTAAAATTTACCATGCGTCAACTCGACGCTAACACCCTACGCGTCCCTTGGACGGTAACTAAAATCACAGAACGAAACTAAAAATTCGAAGGTATGCACAAATAGTAGAAATAAGCTTCAGGGCTGAGATAATTCCTGTTTCTTAAACCTGCATCGGAACTAGTGGCAGCAAGTAAATGCTGTTATGCCACAAAAACTCGCAATAACTGCGGGAGCAGAAGCTTACGCAACAGAGGTAATGGCTATCCCTTTGTGGTGCACTATACTTTAAAGTCGGAATTTCAACAAAAAAAGTTGTATGCAGTCTATCTAGGCCTAAAGGAGTATACAGGTAAAATTTTGTATAAAGTGCACTTACCGTTTTAATTCTGTGGGTGTTCCATGATGTGGAACACTGCGCCGCCAGATATTTTAAAAGTGCGACTAAGCGAGCATTGCAGTGAAGCACGGAAATGAGTAGAAGCGTTTTTATAGTAATAAAAAATTTAAAAAAAAAAAAAAAAAAAAAAACACTGTATTATGCTGTATGCATGGTTTTCTGGATATACACAACATTCTTGAATAAATATGGATAAATGAGATAAATCTATGTATATACGTATATATAAATAATGGATAAATATAATATAAATAATGGATAAATATGGATAAATGAGATAAATATATGTATATACTATATACAAAGATATTTACAAATTTTTCGATTTCTTAGTTTTGTGAAATTGTTCAAAGCATGTCGCACCTTTTTGATAGAAGCACAAACCACCTTTGCAGGTTTTGAACACAAAACTTGTTTTGTGCCACTTCTTGCTCCGAGCAACATAACTCATCAAATAAATGAGTTTCATCCGACATATCAAAATAGGATTACACAAGTGGTTCAAGAGCATATATCTTAGCATAGCTGTTATCTTCATGCTCTGATTGAGAATAAGAGGGTAATTCATGAAGCACTTTTAGCGCTTCGGAAAGAGTTAGATCTCTCCGCGCCATTTATGGAAAGTTAATAATAAAAAATTAACTACAATTAAAACTAACAGTAAAGAAAAATAAGCTATAAGATATACATACACAAAAAATATCGACATAATTATTGGAAATAAACAGGAATGAGACTAAAAAGCGACAATAAAAAATTCGCGCAGCTCTAAGTAAAGATGACTCGAGCTACTGATAAAATTCCTGCCTGAAAACTACTCACAAAAATTTCAAAATACAGATATTAGGGCTTATATTAGGGCTAAACCACATCTCACCCCTCAAGACTGCTTTGTTTGAATTCATTCCCCCAAAACAACGGATATAGAACATATATACAACACATGTTTTCTCCTAAGACAGATGTTGTGGTGCGTAATGGCATGAGATCGCTAAAGGTGCAGTGTTTCCGCTAATGGAACACCCCGTTTTATTTAATGATTCTGCGCATGCTTTTCGTATGAAAAATATAAAAAAATATATAACAAATATTACTAGAAAATAAGTGGATTTTAATAACACATCATAAATGAAAATTCTGGATCTCCTTGTGATATGCTGCCATCGCTATTTAAAAAGAGAAGTTCGAAGTATATTATAAAGGCATTTTATCCATTTATGGTTGAATTTAACGATTTCAGAAGCGATTTAAGCTGGGTGTTCCATGTAGTGGAACACTGAGCAACAAAGGGCTATAGCCTAACTGTCTCTAACCTTCCTTCTGCATCTCGGTATTTAAACTCTTTCTTCAAGGTAGAATTTGCATTTCTTCCCGCGCGCTACCAAATTTAAATATTCTTACACTGACAATAAGGGAATGAAGGCTTATAGGAAAGAATAAAAAAATTAAATAAAATTGGTTATTTAAAATAAATATAAATCCTTTCAAAGTTTCTCCAGTCCGTTATACTCGTATTCTATATATAATAGTGACAATGCATCAAGGTTTTCTTTACTCAAATTAGACCTTCCGTATATTTTTATTCTTTTTAGGGCCGATAAAAGGTCGTTTGTCTGACGCGTTAGAAATGGGTATTGTTAAATAAATTTTCAATTGAGTTAGAATATTCGAAAAAGCTGCATTCACCGTCTGGAAAGCCCGAAATTTTTCATGAATCGACGGATAATACAAGCAAGTGAGAGTCGCGGATTATTTTCGCAATATCTTTTACTTTTTTCTAAAGAATTTTTATCTTCAACTATCGAAATTTAGAACGAGAAATTGTATTTGACTTCAACTTATCGGGGCCCCTTTGGGCATTGGGGGCTCACGCCAAGCGCCCAATGGATAAACCTGCACTACACAATTAAAGAAAAATTCTAATATTTTTAATTCAGAGGCGTAGAGGCTGATCATTTTAAAGTCACTTAGGGTTCATGCAGATATTCAAATGCTTTTGAAAGTCTGACCAGTGGTTTCGGATAAATCGTTCACGCAAGCAAAAAAATTATGGTTATGAGAAAGCTTAATTTAAAGATTTAATTACTTCTAAATCCTGTAAATGCGTAATATTTTCTTAATAAAAAATATAAAAATGTACTTAGAAATTAAAATAACTTATAAACATGCATAGTTATATATTTAAAGAATGTTGCATACATAATTATATCTTAAATTTCGAACATTTTATGATTTAAAATTTTATTATAGTTATAAAGGAAAGCACAATAAGCATTACATATACCAGTTTTAAATAGATACAGTGTTTTTAAACCAATAATTTTGAAATTTTTATGAGCCAAATATGTTCTGTAGCTTTCAAAACTGCTTCATTTTGCTTTGTCATTCACCTTTTACATCTTTAGTTTGCTCTTAATACATCTCCACGTTGTCTCTTTAGTATTTGCATTAACATGAAACTACGGATTTAAATTAACATGGAACTAAGAATTTGAATTAACATGAAATGAACGATAACGGTCATAGACTACACATGGTTTGTCTTTAGATATTTAAATAAAGAGGAAATTCATTTTTCGTAAATGTTCTAAAAAGCACTCGGAAAGAAACTTGGAAAAAAAAAAACTTTAAGTTTATAAAATAATAATTTGTTATTATAATAAATAATCTGTTATCATAAAATATATAAGTAAATAAATATAAAATAAAAAATTTTTATAAAATAATCTGTTAATATAAAATAATGAAGAATATTCTGAATAAACATTTACAACAACCGTCACAGCAGGAATGAACACTAATTAAGAAAGTCAGGTCAACAGATCCTAAGGTTGATTGGTTGTTTCTGACAGGCTCTGTGCAAATGTCATTTATTGTCCATAATTGGTTGTATGTATTCGAAAATTTCATGTTCTTGCAATGATGGTGTGGGCAAATGCCACTTGTATGGAACTGTCATGTGTCCAAGTGTCACATCACCCTTTCTAAGAGTAAAATTATCTATGTTTCTTTGCACTGCACTCCTTGAAAAGGTCAGGACTGCTACAGGTATTTTCATGTAAAGTGGACTCGGCTTAATCACATCTACTCGAGGCTATTTTGATAACATTAAACGATAGTAAAATATACCCCTCAAATCAACAAAAAATTTAACTAATTTATTATAAGTAATTAGAATTACTTTAGAAAATTTATGACATGATGTGCTCAAATTTGTTTCAGAAAGCTCCTGGCAGACATCTTCTATCTGAAGAAGAGAGATCTGTATCTTATAGTTCTAGAAATCAGCAGAGCAATTCAAAATCTACCCCAAACTAAACAAAAGAATGCTTTTTGCCTAATTTTAAACGGTTGGTTAAAATAAATACCGAACAGATTGTTGGCTTACTTTATGACATTTTTCAGTCAATTTGGCAATTTTATATTGACCTTATTTGGAGAACTCACTTCGGTTTGAAACATTCATTAGCATTTTGATAACAATAACCGAATTGTTGATCACAGTAAGTGGTGTATTTTCTATATTTTCGTATATAAACAGACGGGACTTTGGAAGTTCGATTACAATATCCCGAATGATAACATTAACAACGATAACATTAAGCGGCGTCTACTGTGTGGGATTCGTTTACATATTTCTGAGCAATTGTGACTACTGTGCCTTTTCCTGCTAAGCAAATGCCTTGCATTAAGCTCAAAAACTACCATGATCGATGGACTCATTAAAATAGTTAAAAAGCAGAGAATAATATTTTTACGGATTTTGTGTTTGTTTAGTTATTTATAGTAGAATTTGTAATTAAAAAAAATTGTTTTATATTCCCGTGCAATGCAGCACGAGACTTATTCGAAGAGAAAGCTACGTCGGAAAAATTAAAATACAGCGGCACGCGCATTTAGCATTTTAATAAATAGATATCTCTTAATTGTACTCTTTTGTTATCCAGAAAAATCGAGAAAATACGAGAATGTTTCTCGTGCAGGATTAAAAAGATTATAAAAGCTAGAGGAAAACATCTCAATTCAGTTGTTAACTTAGTGCTGTTACTGATTGTAGCGAATTCGCGGTGAGATCGGATTAGCGTTCTCAGTGTTTTGAATTGAGTTCTATTCAAAATTTTAGTAGTTTAAAATATAACTGCTGTGAGATATTGCGATATTGTACGATTTGTATGAGGAAATGAGGAAATTTCAACATTTTGTTTTATTTGTTATGATAAGAATTAATTTTATTCACATTTCATCGGACTTGCGTATTCAGTTTATTACGAACCCGTACGCACGCAACAATATTATTCCTGGAAGTTTTATGAAAATGTTTGTTATGGAAAATCCTTCTATTATGAAAAGCAAAATATAAGAAAGCAGACTTATAGTTCTCTACTATAAATTACATTTCGGGAATTATTTACATTTCAAACATAAAGTTTTAAATAACTGAATTACGTTAAAAACTTTCTTTATTATTTTTAAATGTTAGACTGCATTTAGAGATGAGTCATTTTCATGCGAGTATTATTGTAATGAAACACTGTTTCATATCGTAGTTAACATAGTATTCCTATCAGTGTTATTATTATTTGACAGGGTTAAATTTAGGGCATGGTCTATATTGAATATAGATGGTATTAACGTTAGCAGAAGAAAGTCGATTATCCGTCGTACTTTAATTCGTTCATTTCTATTATCCGTCAGCCACTGTCCAATGAAAGAATGGATCTATATTGCGAAACCTTTTTTGCTTTTAAAAAAGAGAGATGCTTATGAAATCGCGTTCGAAATCAGATGAATCGATTAAAACTCTACGCCTGTCTATGCCTAATTTTAAGCTTTCTGCCTTGTTATCTGGGCCGTCATCATATAGATGAAAAAAATTGATGAATATTAAAAAAGTGAATGATAATTCCATTCACCTCTAAGTTTCATTTCGGGGTATTTGAAATCAAAGAAAGACCCTTTAAGCGTGAGATAAAGGGAAACTCACCTGCGGTGAAATCCGTGAGTTCTTGGCTTAGCCAATCCAGCGCAGGATAGTTCTGAAGAATAAAAGCGTGTTCATTCTTTGGCTCGGATGCGATTTCGATGAGAGACTTTTCTCGTGTGTAACTTGCAGTTCCTATAGTATAGATCTCCACACCATACTTCTTCAACACTTCAGCTTCCCAAATGATGTCTCCCATATTGTGTCGATCTGTGAGAAAATTCAGTTATCAGAAGAATAGAGTATACATCCAAAACGGCGGCAGTCAACTCCTCATTCACCAGGATATTAAAATGGGCGGTTTTCCCGGTCGGTTTGAAGTGATTTATGTGATTACGGCAAAGCCTCGAGGGCTATCTGCCTAAGGGAAGTCGTGGAGGATTTCCTAAGGGAAATTGGCTAGTATACACGCTACGCCTGGAGAAAACCACAAAACCTACCACGCAACCCAACAGTTCGCGGAATTCAAATACCGGACCGAACTTCACCGCTCGGCCGTTCAGCGACTCCACCGCTGGTGGACTCGGTTTGGTTTGGCTATTTTAGAACTAGAAAGCCCCGCGGTCATACGAAATGGCCGCTGTTCTAAGTATTATAAATTGCAATTAAAATGATTTGCGCAAAGGTGTCTGCTAATTCAAACTGAATTACCCAGGGCAGGCGGCAAGGACGCCCTTTTGCTTACTGCCCCACGGGTTTTCCCCCTTCTACTTGCTTAACTGCTTAAAGTAGAGTGCAATGAAGGAAACCACTGGCGGTACATTTCTGAAGAGCCACCGCTAGCCCGTTCTTTCACGAATTCTTGAACAGGCAACATAAAATTGACCGTGTCCAAATGCAGGCTCAGGTAAAAAAAATGCCAACACGCTTAAGCGTTTGGCCCTGAGACTCATGGATGGTCATAGCAAAGGCAAGATTTACATGAAATTGTCTACGTCTCAATCGAAACGGCAACCCTGTGCCGGGCAAACATCACCCCATTGGCTAGCCGTAAGCCGCATATATATATATATATATATATACCGGGTGGCCATAATTAAACTGACAGTGCTCACAGTGTTCTGTAGCGCGATCTACTTGCGAGAATGACGCCACATTTTGTAGGAAGATTAAACAAGACGGGAGACGAAGGATTCCGCGAAAAAACAAATTAGTTCCAAAAGTCACCGCTAGGCCTTTGGCGCTGCGGAATAGAAAATAGAGTGTTAACAAATGCAAATTAATACGGAATAAAATTACCTTTTGTTACGCACATTTTCTGATTTAGTTCAAGTGCAATATGGCAACACTTTTAAAAAAGCGAATTTAAAAAGACAATGCCTGGGGGAAATCATTTTCATGCAAGATGGAGCCCCTCCACACGTTGCTGTACGGGTGCAACAGATGCTACGACAGAAATTCAAAACAGAAAGAGACATTAGCCGCTACTTTGCAACTACATGGACCACCTCAGTCGCCTGATCTTGCCCCATGCGACTTCTGGCTATGGGGTGACCTTAAGTCTATCAAGGTCTATCAAGGAAGTGGTCCAGGACCAGACTACGTTGAAGGATAACATATAACGGACTGTACGGGAGATTCCTGCAGACACGTTAGTTTCTGCTGTTGCGCATACTGTGCACAGAATGCAATATGTGGTCCACAACAACGGCAGCCACATTGAAACCTCATTTGAATGTAAAATAAAGGTAATTTCCGTATTGATTTGCATTTGTTAACACACTATTTTCTATTACACAACGCTAAATATTCCCCTAGCGGTGACTTTTGGAACTAATTTGTTTTTTTCGCGGAATCCTTCGTACCCCGTCTTGTTTAATCTTCCTACAAAATGTGGCGTCATTCTCGCAAATAGATCGCGCTACAGAACACTGTGAGCACTGTCAGTTTAATTATGGCCACCCGTTATATATGGGATGAAGTAACATCGTCTCTGAAACGGCTGGCTTGCCGAGATATTAATTAAAAACTAATTTTCCCCTACATTTTCCACTTTCTTTCTTGGGTTTTCCCTATTAGAGGGATTTGGCTACGTGCGAAATTCTTTTTTCTCGAGTATCTACGAAACGGCTCCGAGTTGAAATTCGAGACGCATATCCTCGGATTCCAAAAATTTCTCCGAATCCATCGATACAGTTCTCATCTTCGTACGACTGTAATCGGTCGAGATATTAATTAAAAAACTGCGGAAACATTAATTTCCGCGCTCATTTTTCTGAGTGGCAACAATAAACTATCGGCGACACACACTTTAGCTGCTTATATATATATATATAAAGATATTATTACGGCTTATTAAGGCAAAATGCTAACTGGCTCATATCCACGTTACATATGGGAAAAATCTCGAAAACACCAATCTCCGGGATGATCATTACAAGTTAACACAGCTTCTACACCGCTACGCAGATAGAAGTGCTATTATCCGACTATGCACTATGAGAGCATTGGTGATTGTGATACCGAGAAGACTTGTGGAAAGTTCCAGAACTGTGAAGGGATTCTTTTGATGAAATAGATTTTATCAAGTTATTATCGGCTATTTGAGCATTCAATCCATTACGAACCAGTATGCACGCAAGAATACAGAGGCTGTTCACACATTTTTTAGACGATGTATATTGTATTCACAAAACTAAATTACATAAAATTCTTGTGTTTTAAATGTTCTATTTGACATTCCTTATTCTGAACTATCTTTCGACACCGCAATTTCCAGGATAATAATGCCTTTTGAAGTGGCAGAAGAGATATTCTATCCCATTCCTCCCGAAAAACAGCTTTCCAGAGTCCTGTTAGGGTTTTGGGACAAACGTTTGGATAATGCAGTTTTTTAAAAAAGTCCGAAAGCACAAAAATCCGTAGGTGACACATCGGGAAATTTAGTAGGTATATCAGTGAAGGGATCGCCTTGATACAGATTTTGTCCATTTCTTTTAGGAATTTACAGTGGATTTTGATGTGTGACTGCTAGCTTTGTCATGATGGGAGTCTCACAGATGGATGCACTGTGGGTAAAAGCGATGGGTATTTCATTCAGAAAATTGGCGATAAAATATTTTCCTGATAGTATTTGGAGTTATCTTGACATTTTTTTTTTTGCACTCTCTCTTTACTTTTAACTTGTCATTATAAGAAAAACCAGCAACAATCATGAATCCCTTAGAAAAACTTTCTTTCGATTCTTTGAACCATGTACTTAAATTTTTTTCTCCCCTTTTATGATAATAAATGGCTCTTTTTTTTGTTACAATCATTTAAATACACCCAGGATTCATCTATTGTGACAATTGTTTTCCATTTTTCTTTGGATAAGTGTTTCTCCTATAGAATTCTGCAGCGTGTCCTTGCGTTGAGCGATATGCTTTGGAAGAAGACGATGCACATTGCGTTTTTTCACTTTCTTAAGATTTAAATCAAAGTTTATCATTTTGTTTACAGTGAAAACCGAGCATTTTAATGATTTTGCAACTGTCCTTTGACTAGGGGGATTTTCTTTTAACATTAAACAACGTACCTTTGCAATAGTCGAAGATGTCCGTTTTTTCCTTTTTCCTTGGATACTTGTTTGGAATTTTTGTCCCACTTGAGGCTCCAATTTGACGTTTTTTCCTTTCTTGTTGATGATATTACCTATCGACGCTTTAGATGTCACAAAACCATGACTCTCACATCATTTTTTTATAACGAAATATGCATATTTCTCTTCGAAAAGAGAGCAAATGTAGCCTTCGAACCACTGCTTTGTTAAATTCGCCATTTTGAATAAAAACAAAACTTTCAAGCCACAGACGATAATTTTGACTTTTAAAACATAGTACAATTGCAATTACTTCTTTTGCAGCAAAGGAATTTTTATTACCGCTTACCAAAATCGTCTAAAAAATCTGCGAACAGCCTCTGTACAGTTACATAAAATTAAATCGTTATCCAGTGCAAAAGAAAACGCAATAAATAACTGAACAGAAAATTAAACACCATGAGAAACGAAGAAGTTACGTTAAAAAAGTAGGTTTGAGCATTTAATTCTTAATTGTACAATGTTTATATATTACGGATTCGGTACATTTATGTTACACACTGTTGTTGAAACGAGATTAAGAAACAAAGAGAAATAAAAGAACTAAGTAAAGATAGGATAGATACATGCAAATACAGAAATGTGGCATTGAAATTATTATGTAATCAGTGGAAAATTTAGAAAAAAAAATTAACCTAATTGTTGAAATCACTTTTAATCAAGAGTTCGTGATCATTCATATAAAACTTTATTAAATTCACTTTTGTTCTTGTTCACAGAATATGGAATGTACAGGAAGGAAATGAGTTTGACACACAGAACTGAATGACAATTCATTCAAAACACACCAACAGACAAGTACGCGGGGATGCGGAAATCAGCAGAATTCAGAATGACATAAAAATTCATTTATAAGAGGTTCAGAAACAGTAAAAAAAAAAAAAAAAAAAAAGAGGAGACTTGAATAAAGTATCAAAGGAAGGTGTGAAAGCAGCTAACATGAAAACAGTACTTATGCTGCGATAAAATTTTTATTAGATATCAAAAGAGGAACACATTCCTGTTTCTAACGCTTCTTATTCACTGTCACTGTCTCTACCACGATATAGTTAAGTTGCCTGCACCACCAGAATCATTATCGCTAGTACCGGTATCCTACAGAAACAACATAACTTTAAACTTTGCAACTTAAAAACCTTATCATTTATATCCCAAACATAACTTGTCCGTTCTGGCCATAAATTAGAAGTTTTTAGCATATGAAACTAGGAGGGATGTATTTTTTCTGGCATACGTGACCCGCATTACTTTAAAATCTGTGTGCCTCTGTCTGTTTGTGTGTTTGTAACATCATCTTCTCAAGAACGGCTGGGTGTAGAGCTTAGCGGAAGGTACCGTTGGATTCAGAATTCCCGTGGCTCGCCATATTGACCATCGGCATCTTCGTGCGACTTTAATTAGCCGAGATATTAATTAAAAACTGCTTTTTCCCCTACGTTTCCCTACGTTTTGCACTTTCTTTCACCCGTTTTCCCTGTTTTAGGGATTTGGCCGAGTGCCAAATTCGTTTTTCTCGAATAACTTGGGAACGGCGCCGAGTTGGAATTCGAAACGCATATCTCCGGATTCGAAAAAAATCAACAAATCCATCGATACCGGTCCCATCTTCGTACGACAATAATCCGCGGAGTTA